GCATACCGCACTAGCCAAGCCACCAGAAGGCAGCCACAAGGATGCTATCTCAAACAGCTAACACTGAGTTATTACCCTGGAATGCCAAATATTTAATATTGCAGTGATAAAACAACATGTGCTCAGTACCATAAGACTGTTCTTGCCCAAAGCAGCCCACAAACTCCACGCACAGAAAGTACAAATTAAATGCTGACATCAGAGAAATTCTGTTTTGTTGTAAGAACAAAAAGCAAACAAACATTTTGTTGTAAGGAACAAAATGTTGACCTCTGCAAGTTTGGGAAGACTTCAAGAAACAAGAAAACTGCAAGGAAGAATGTGCAGGGCAGCAGAATAAAGCGGTATCTGGCCTGTAAAGGCCTACGCAGCACCGCTCCATGCCAGACTCCTCACACCTCCCTTGCCACTTCCACACACGTCACAAAACAACAAGCCCAGTACAAAAAGAAGTTTCAGACCGATACTTTTACTACAGTTTATCCCAAATCTCTGCCATTTGTGAGTCACTGTAAATGTCCCCCTCCCATTTGTCAGCATCCCAAAATACAAAGGAAAAATAATTGCTGAGCTGGATTGGCTGAGTATATTTCAGCCAACTTTAAAAAAAAAATAAAAATGAAAAGTTCAGGGAGGGAGTTCAACAGAATGAGTAAAAATTCATCACTGACATACAAACTGAATTTTATGAATGTATTTGAAGTTTTCCATGTGGTCTCTAGGTCACACATTTTAAGCGCACAAACTGTTCCCTGGAACCTTCAAAAGATCAACACTGTGGGTTTTTTTCTACTTGCTAACTGCATTGCTCATGAGCCACATTTTACTCTGTAAAGTTAAAGAAAAACTCTCACAGGCTTTTGTTACTGATATTTACAGAAAAGAACTTTTGCAAAAATGTGATGCAAATTTTATCAATGAAAAGTTTAATAGTTGCAAAAAGAATACAATAAACAGTAACAGCTTTTTAATGAGATTTTTCTTGGTCAGGCATACCCCAGACATTTCCAGACATGACTAAACTCCAAGATTCCCATTTCCAATTAACACATGCATGTTACCCAGTAAGCCCTTCCCCCCAAAGCCACTCAGCATGAGATTACTGCAGAATCTGATGGCCTTCAGTAGGATATTTGGCCAAACTCCAGCTCCACCAGCCTTCATGCTTATTTTTTACAGGCACAGCCTCCAGCTTTGCACGCTGGTATGCAACCTAACACCCAAGTCCATTAAACTTTCCATCAAAAACACATAAAATTGAGCAACAGGTAAGTAAACTGTAGTCTGTTCTCTAACTGTTCGGAGTATTCTTACTGCCCTGTTTGCACCACGGCATGAAACTTAGCTAATTTTCTTGAAGGGGTTACAGTGATCGTGCCCAGGATGGTACAAGAGGACCATCAGGGGATCCAACTCTGAATGCTCTTGCAAGGGGAGCTCTTATGGACAAGATCTAGAATTTCAAAGGGGTAAATGGAGCTGGCACTAGGATCTCCAACATCAAACATGCAGCGTCAAAAATAACTACTGTGAAAAAACTGGAAAAGACAAAAATTATGTTCTCTTCCAGTGGAATGAGCTCATTTATCCTGTCATCTTTGGCTATAGGGAGAAATCTGGCACTGTTCACTGATGGCTTGATCTGACTCTCACATTTACCTATCAAGAGTGGCTAACACGATTATGAAACGTCTGGCCAACTTCACAGCATTTTCAAAGCTATCAATGTTACAGGTCTCATTCCTCACAACAAACCCTTCTGAAGGTTATAACTGCAACTCTGTTTTAAAACTAACATATGTAGCACAGCCGTAAGTCTACAGAAAACTGCTGAGAAACTGATGTTGAGTAAGCCCTGGTTTATTCCTGTAGAAGCATTTCAATCCGTTCATGTGGCTTCAGTTTGACTTAGTTTTTTAAACCTAGACACAACTTTTGGTAATGCCTACAATGAAGCACTGACATGAGGGGTGAACTTAACCCCTCAACTGAGCCATGAAAGGACAAATCCATTCCTATTGCACTCTGAAAGGATCCTGGGAGGTCAACTTGTGTAGCTTGTTAGAGCTGAAGAAATCTGCAGTCTTTGTTTAAGCACCAACAGTAGCTCTTTAACAGTCCAATTTGGTTTTCCCATTTTACATGGTAAAACAAACATTACTTCCAAATGTAACAAAGGTTTCATTGTGCTCATCTTGAGCCTGAAAACAGAAATGCGAAATGTATCTTTCATGAGTCAGGTTTGGGGAGATGAGAGTGGGTGGCAATAAGAAGGGAGAGAAGAGTTTGCACTTGAAAATTAACATGTGGTTGTTACCGTGAGCACGGTTCCAACTGTTACTGTTTTAAAAGTTTTCTGAAATACACAACAGTGGCATGAAATTTGCAGGGCAGCAGAACTCAACTGATACAGCAAGAAGATACTATTCCTCCAGTGATTAGGTAAATAAAACCATGCAGCATCACAAAGTAACTTGTATACTTGCTAGCAGCATGTGGCACAGACATAAACATCTATTCTTTCCATCACTGAATGTTTCTATACTTGCAAAGACCTGCAACATTTTGCCTTCATAGTGTGGATTCACAACCAGTACCTGTAAAACCTCAAAAAAAAAAAAAAAAAAAAATCACGTGATCAAACAAACCTGGAGATAAAAAGGGTAAATGATAGCACAACAAACTATAAGGGAATGATTCAGCAAAATAAAAAAAATAAAAAAAAAAAAATTTTAAAAGAATTTAAAAACCCAAGGAAAAAAATCCTTTGGTTTTGGCAGCAGTTCATACTTCTCAACAGAGCATGTTTAAGTATTAGGCTTTCCCACCTGCAGGGCAAAGGATCCTATATTGCTAGAGAAAAGTAACACCTTGTATTACCTGCCAAAGCACATAATACAGCTAATTACATTGCAGCTCAGTGCCAGGCCCAGCTGAATCAGAAACTGGGGGAAACATATGCTTCTCTGTCATGGTCTCAAGGAACCGTGTGTTTGAACATGGCTGTCAGCTAGCATGTAACAGCAGAAAAAAATAAAACAGATCATCCATTTGTCATTCAAACTGATTTCTTTCAAGAAAAAGCTATCCAGTCTAAATTAAGTAGAAACACGTAATTAAATACTTTGCAATCCATAGTAGTTTACAGTAAAAAAAAAAAACAAACCTTGAGAACTCCATCCCCGTACGATTTATAGCAAGTAATCCTTTTTAAGAGACTTGCTTAGTCTAGGGTACCCTCACAGAATAGGTTTCTATCCTTAAAATTATTTAAATAGAACTTTCAATATGACCCAAAGATTGTGCAAGGTGGTACTATCTTCTTTAATCTCTAGGCAAATAGCTTCTTTTCCTTCTCTTCTCCTTCATGTTTTCTTGAGGTAAAGTGGAATGAGATGATTCAGTATCACCCACTTTTACTGTAGGTATTAGGAACATAGAGTTAACCCTAAAACTGATGTGAAACAGGTTAATTACACAGGCCACTGACTGAAAAAATCTTCTGAATCCCAGAAGAGGCAGCCACTGCAGCTGTTGAATATGGAGGACTTGCCAGGAGCAGGATGAAAGAGCAGCAAAGAGGAGTCTGATATCCACCTGCCTGTATCAACTTCTAAGGGCTATTAAGAGGGAACAGACTACATCTTCAAGGAGCAAGGAAAATTAAGACAGAAGTTTTTGGAAATGTAACTCTCAAAGGTATCAGGAAGAAATCTTTCCACAAATACAGATCGTTTTGGTTTCTTCTCCAACGAGGTTTTAATGGATACTGAGAGTCCTTGTCTTACTTTAATTTTCTGGTTAAATTGTCAGTCCAAACTTCGGGAGCAAATAGGCGGAGGTGATATAATAGCAGATAGGGGCAACTGTATATTGCCAAGTAAATGCCTACAGAAAAGGAAACAGGCATAGTTGAATAAGAAAATGAGTCCAGAAGAAAGATGCGGCAGACAATGAATAGCAGAGGTACAAAAGCACAGACTATAACTAAGAGATAGAAGAAGCAAAAAAAATAACACAGATCCTCCCATACTGGAGGATGGAAAGGAAAAAGTATAATGAAATCATGAAGGTTCAAATGCTTAGCAAGAACAAAAAATATAGTCACAGTAAAAATTAAAAGGAGAGGAGGATTAAGTTTTAATTAAGTACAGACCACATCTATTGGATAGTAATAAGCTGCAGACACAATTGCTTGCAGATCATAGCTACACTTTGGCTTAAATATTTCAGCTTTACTCTTAAAAGACTTATCTTTCACTGGCAGTCTTGGAAAGTCTCTACAAATCAATTTCACACAGCCTCAGCAGTACAGCAGGTACAACACTGTGCACATTTTAACAAAAAATGGACTAAAGAGAGATGAAGCAGGAAATGAAAGGCTTAAATGGAATCACAACTTGCCTCTTCATTCTCAGCCTGTTTCAGCTGTCACTTCACAACATCTCTCCTATTGATCATCATTCAGAGATTAATACACCTGAAGATTTTGATTACTTCCACGTATATCCAAACTCATTGTTTCTAGTTTAAAATCCAACCATTCTAATAAACATAACTTCTTTTGCAAATGAAAGATAGCAGGCAACATTTAAGCTAGCCCCAGCATACTCCGAGCATATACTCTTTCTACATCAACCTGCTCCAACATCCTGGAAGTGCCTTCCCTGGAAGTGAATTATTTACAACTGCAACATCCTCTGACAACAAGAGCATCAAAGTAATTGTCATCATCAGTTCTGGAACTGTTTTTTATAAAAATCAGAGGTCCATCATGCTGTGCAACAGGGAAAAAGAAAAAGGAAAAATATCCCACATGGAAAAGATCAAATGCAAACAATGCAGTACAGGAAAAACTACAGCACAAGGAAGGTTTAAAACATCCCTAATACAATAGATTATGTTCAGGCCTTCAGTCTATGTGTATCCTTATAAATAAACACATATTTTAAGAATGACAACAGCTCCTCATAGGATGTTCTTTGTTAACATATACTCACATATACTTCATTGTGATCATAGCGCTTTTTCAGATTATTGATGAATGAATCTTCATCAAGTGGCTCTAAAAGAACCATATCTCCCACCCCTATCATGTTGTCCAAAAGTGACGTCTTGACCTCCATTTTGGCCATTTTCTCCTGCAAAGAAAGAAACAAGAAAAAAACAAAGAGCAAAGTTAGCTCAAAATTATTCTAATTATTCACAGGCGTTATCCAGTAACACTATTTAAGGAATACAAGTTAGAAACCCATTGAATGACACTGCTTTAAAATATTTTTCCAATGAACATTTTCAAAGTCATTCTATCTATGCAGGTAGTCCACACAGTTCCAAATATTTAACTTCTAACAGTCAACAATGCCTTCTGGTTCACTATACTTTAAATATGAAACTGCAAGAAACAAGAATTAAGATTCTAGTGGGCACCACATCCAGATTTTGTGGACAACTTGAACAGCGTTCAAGTGTATGCAAACCCAAGTTTTATCAAAAGCTTCATCAACATCTCCACTGTATCAAATTGGGATTTAAATTTGTCAATTCCCTAACCTGAATTTCTTTCTCACCGTTACTTGCATTTCTCCAACCCCTTCAACTTTTAAATGGAAACCAACTAAGTGAACTCATGCAGAGACAAAACCCACAATATTTTATCTAAATTCATGAACCCTGTACTCTAGAGTGCCTGTATTGCAGTACAGTACTGCTCTTGGTTACATAAGGCTACCAAATTACTTCATCTCCTAACCAGACTTATTTAGATTTATTTGTGATTTTATTGCTTAAGAGAGCATTTTCATTGGGCAGCACCAATACAGCTGGGAAGCGGAGACTCTGCATCTATGTAACTGGAGTGGCAAAAAGCAGAAGCCAAGCTTAAACTAGGGACCAGGATCAAAGTAAGTTACCAAGTCTGATAAACAAAGTAATTCAGACAAAGAAGTCAAGGTCAGGCCAAAACTCAACACCTATTTGATTGTCCCAGCCATTTATCCTTCCAATCCAAATGCTAGGAAAGATTAACCCAGCTCCTCAAGAACTCCAGGCACACAGTTACTGCTTGCAGCTTTCATGACAAGACCAAAGAATGAACGTATTAGCACTGGCAGCCCACGAATGGGGAACCAGAGGTGAGAGAACAACTTTGCTGACAACACAAACCAAGAACCAACTACTACTGCACAGTGACAGCTACACAAAACAAGAGTTGAACTTCACCTGTAGTCAGGTGAGAGTCAGCTGTAACCTTTCAGCTATGAAATGCCATCAGGCTGTCCTTGCTCCCCCTATCACTGCAGCATATTTTAATTCTAAATATTTTTTCTCGATTTTCAAAACATCTTTGAACAGCTATTAGCTCATACAATCAGCAATAACTTTCCATTGTAGCTATCCATCAGATTTACCAACTAATGTAAACCAAGCGAAGCCTTTTATCTCTTGCTTCTGTCCACAGCCACTGCGTTACTACATGCTATTTGATTTTTGAGCAGTGAGTGACATTTGAGGGATATTAGATCAAGACCTAAGTCGTGTTTGATGTTTTTCCAAATTCAACGAGAGAAGCACAGCTCCACAGGCAGCTAATAGAAGTGATACAACAAGATCCCTAAAACCTGAACCAAGCCTGGGAATTACTGGAAATTCACATGGAAATGTGCTGAACTATGGTAACCAACCAAAGCTGAGTCAACTCTGCTAAACAAACAAAAGAGGATTTATTTTAAACAAAAACACTGGACAAATATTTTTTTTAGAGAAAGACACTTTTATTCTTAAATGTTCACCTCTCAACCACCAAAAAATTTTAAATATTCACAAAATCTTTTCAGATTCACTTCAACTTCTGCATCCCATTAAGGTGAATTCTTTAAACTACCAGTCTTGTTTCAATGACCTAATTACTTCCCATACATCAACCAATGCTCAAATAATTTTTGAAGGCTGAAGAAAAAGGAAAAAAAGTCCTTCTCAAGTATGGAACTTATTAAATATTGGGTTTGTAGCCAAAATAAAAAAAAAAAGCCAACATAAAAATCCTAATATGGGCAATTTCAACCTAAAATTTAAGTTCTAAGTAGTATACCTCATCTACCATTGTGAAATTACATACCACTTACCACACTTCATGCATCACTGCTTGGGAATTTCAAGACCAAGAGCAGCCAAACCCATCAAGAACATTCATGTATTCCCAAGCTCAGAGGCACATTTTGCAGAGGATGTGCACAAAGACACCGTATCTACTGCTAAAAGCTGGATCAGAAAGTCATATACAAATACTAGTTTAAAAATATACTTGACAAGTTCAATTTTATGGTCAAAGGTTAGTTTTCAACTTGGTTTTTTTCCCCACAATTTAACATCATACTATGGTTAAAATATTTCCATTAACTCGAGAGCTAGAAAATTTTAGAAACACAGGTGATTAAAAAAAAAATTGCACAATACGCCTAGGCATCTTGTTTAACACTGAATTCTCAAAATCATTCGCAATAGCTTATTCTTTGCAAAATATCTTTAAGGATTACCTCACACACTGATGTATGATTCAAGAGTATACTGCCATACCAATGTTGTTAGCCCCCACTTTGGTGGAATCCAATCATAACCCCTGCTCTGGTTTAGCTAATGACAAAGGAAAATCTGGCAAGATTGTGGGATAATTTGGTTTCCTTTCTGAGGTAAGAAGTGGGGAAAAAGCCCTGTTAAGAAAAGCCAACAATGTTTAAGCATACATTAAAACATTAGATTTAATTAAATCTACAATTGAGTTTAATCCACTAGAAGAATTTAATAGATCAATATATATAGCTGTTTCAAAATATCAAATACTGCTGGTGAGAGAGCGCCCGCAAACAGGAAATTAGGTTAGAGGAAAGAACCAGGATGGGTTGTGTCTTTTAAAACAAGGACACCTTTAGTTATCTTCAAATGAAGATTGCTGAATGGGGGAAGGTGGATGGAGGTACTGCTGTGAGGCTCTATTTGAACTGTGCTGTAATTTCATTCTGGAAACTGAATAAAAAATAACCTAAAAATGTAAGTGGTATTCCCTTGATTTACCTAACATACTGCTTTTGTGACTGCAACATCTCATTCTGCTGACATCAGGAAAAAAAGTGTTGTATAAAGATTACACCTGCAAATTATTAATATAGCAACAAATTAGCTCAGCAAAAACCCCAAAATTCTTCTAACGCTTGCAGTCTGCAAATCAGATTTGTCCTCAAACATTCCCTGATCTCTCCCACACCCACTTACCACTCGAGTCTTCTCCCACATTTGCCTTTCTTATCCTTAAAGCAAACATCAGCAGCATTTCAGAACATCTCCCTTTTCTCTAGTCATCTGTCAAAGCTGTTCTTCCTCACTTTGGCCTCATATCTAGGCCTTAATTCAACGGAGCGAGAACACTTTCAACACGTTTCCATTCTCAGAAAAATAAGAAGGATTATTCAGTAATACTTCGCAGCTTGATCTGTTTTATGTTGGACAACATGCTCGGGAGAAGTGCTGGGCATGCTACGTCTGTAAAATGCTTTTGTTCACATGCTCTCATGTTACACGTAGCCCTTTAAAACACAGACTATTGTTTCTACTACTTGCAATGCCTGGGATTGCCATCCAGCTAGGTCAGTTGAATCTAAAACATTCTTGTCCCTCTTGGCCGCAAGGATTGCAAATTAAAAATTACACTATTCCACAGTCACAGCAGTCCTATCATCAACTAATCTGAAACGAGAGTTAATGAAAGCTATAAATAGAAGATGATACAGAGAATAGGCAAAGCCCCAAACGCCTTGTACAATTAAGTTCACACATCCTCCAAGGGGGAAATGAAGCAATGTCCCATTATTAGCATACAGCATGTTACAGAAGTGTCCAGGGTTTTCCACATCACCCTCGTACAGTAAAAGAGCAACAATTGTCAGCAGCTTCCTACAGATGTGCAGTCCTTAGCACACGTTTGCATTTGCTGCACTGGAATTATCACTGGCTGCAGAGGTGGCTTGTTTTCCTTCTTTTATGACACTGTAGGAAAAGGACAATTTCCCTACCATCAAAATTGTCACAATAGATGTACTTGCATATGCTTCAAGCTCTGACTATTAAAAAAAAAAAAAAAAAAAAAAAAAAAGCCTCTGGTTTCACTACCACCAAGTCACTGTAGAAAATAACCACCTTATTCTTTTATAAGAGTTAACAGGAACAAACTGCAACATCAGTAATTCAATAGCAGAATTCAAACTGATTTCATGTTCCAGGTCTGATCCCAAGCTCCTCTCAGGCAGTAGTCATGCTTTCCCACTCGTTCCCTTTATTCTCTGTCAGAGAGCAATCAGCCCACACAGACCAGGGACACTTACACGCCACTGCTGCAAAAAAAAAAAAAAAAAAAAAAAAGCCAAGAGGCTAGGGACATGGTGTCATTACCTGAAAAAAAACAAAACCAAAAGGGACTACAGCCATCTTGTACTACTCCTGACAAGCGTAAATACCAAATTAGCAAGAGGCAGGATTTAAATTCATCCTTTTCTGCTGCCCAACAAACCCCATGTTATCCCTGGCCTCTGACTGATGCCCAGAAGGTGCAAGTTCATTGGAAACACCTTGTGCTGGTTCACCAGGTAAGCTGAGGCAGGCTCTGCAGAAGAACTATTGTAGTGCCCTCTTTACTCAAAGCTAGATTTCCTGACATCAGCATGTAGGAAAACATTGATACTATCCAAAGAAAATATTTGTTTTGCCTCCAGATCCTCTAACTTTTTAGACTCTGGATGCTGCGGGGGATCAGGGCACACGGCACCTGCTGCCTGGATGCTGCCTGCTAGGAAAACCTGCACCCTCCTGCCCAGCTGTGACTGCTCGCAGATGTTGCTCTGTCACCATCAACGTGCTGAAGAAAAGAGCATGCACAAAATAGCGCAATGTTGCAGCCCACGGTTTCTTCCTGCAAGAAAATGGACTTGAGAAACCTGACAGACAGATTACAGGCAGGAATGTTAATAGATATCACCAACAGCAGTAAAAGCACTCTTAAGGAACTGAAATGCTTCCTCTGATTCTCCATCTTTCCTTTTGGTCTGGCCAACGTCTGAATATCTTCTGAATTCCTTTTCCTCCCACAGTCCTA